GGAACCCTACCATAAACATCATCTCAATCGGACAGAACTGATAAATCTTATACCGGAAATGTTTGGGAGATATGGTTCACCCTCATACCGGACGGGGTATCGAGGCGATGAAATGTTTAGCACCCATTACCGAACAGAGTATGGGGACGACCGATTAATTATTAAAATTATATATTAAACTCACGAGTAAGGAGGGAATCTCTATGAACTCGCAGGGGTACTAGTAAGAAAGTAAGACAGGAAAATTGTCGTCATTTATTCTTTTATGTGTAAAAATAAAAAGTGGTATGAATATGAGTATTTATAGGTTATTTTTGAAAAACTCGTAACCATATGTATCAAACAAACGTATTTATGTTAAATATATTTAATTAAAACAATGACTTCATTAGTTATTTTTCTGATTTTTACCAATATTTAGTTTTCCGTAAATGTGATTAGTGTGATATTTTTACTGCACTAGTGTAGCTCACAATTTCATCACAGATTAAGAAGACCAATATCTATATTATGATCAATAAGAGGGTCATAAGTAGTTAACCACTCGAACTCTCTTTAAGTACTAGTGAATGTTGTTATAAAATATTTATTTATTCTTTTTTTTTAAATTATCGTTTGTCTTTTATAATTGACATTTTCATACCTCTATTGTACATTCTAAATTATTGTGTAAGGAATGTAAACACTAACTTTATTATTCGTTTCCGCATCTAAATCATAAATTCACTTATTTTAAGGTTCAAGGCATTTACAATTATAGTATCTTTTTGTTTAATTAGAAAGATAATCATACTAGTAAATGATATCATAAGAGATTTTTTTTTCCCCTAAAAATATATTACCACTGATCCCAATTCATAGTCATCAATCAATTATTATTTTTACTCATTTTTCACATATTAATTTAAGTAAAAAACTTAGGTGTTACCATAATTATTATTAAAATAAATATTGATTAAAAATATTTTTAATAAAAAAAAATTATGTAATATTTAATACAAATAGTTATAAAAAGTATTCACTAAAAAACAAAAATTTCATGTTTAATGGGTATAAATTTTTAGTAACAAATAAAATTATTATTTTTTTTAAAATTACGTTTTGTAATTCAAAATAATTTTATAAAAATATTTTTAAATCGCAAAATTTATAATAAAAAAAATTACAAGAAACAATTTCACAAAATTTTCAATATTTTTTATAAAAATTATTATTAAAAATTAATTTCAACAATATTTACATTGAATAAAGATTTTTTTTATTTTTTTAAAAAATCAAATAATATTTAAGTATTAATTTTAATTAATTAATTTTTAATACATCTCCTAATTACTTTAATTAGCTCTTGTTTCACCGTCATAAATCCAAGAAACAAGCTCTTTCATTCGAGTGGAAGCCAAACTAAGAAGCAAATTCGGGTCCCAACCTCGACATCATAACAAAAATAATTGACATATGGCGAACAAAATCACCCGCTCCGAACCCGACATTACCGGGTCAGAAACGAAGGTAATTTCATTTGTCGTCATTATGGCTCTTATTTCCCTCATAAATTTATTTTCCCAAAGTTGACTTTGATCATCTCCGCATAAAAGCAGAT